GGTAAGATTTAGTATGCTCGAAACGTAAAGTTAAATCGACCCCCGAAAAAAAAAAAAAAAAAAAAGCAAAACATCCTTTATAATTATAGTTTTTGTAATTATGATTATAAAAATAAAGAGGAAAAAGNAAATATTAAAACCGTTAAAGAAAACAAGTCATAGTATTAACCTGTTCACTAATGTTTTAAGGCTTGAATAAATTCCCTTTAAGGTTGGATCAAGGTTATACAAACCTCCAAGAAGGTTGCACAAACGTTCGACAAAGTTTGCATAACGTCTATTTGTATAGCCTTATGTAATGTAAAATGATTTAGTATTCACAATGAACTATTTAAAATAAAATTTATAATAAACTTTAGATTTTTTTTTTTAATTTTATTAAATAAACAAAATATGTGATTTAAAAAATAAAAATAAAAATCTTTCAAAATTTAAAAAGTAATTCGATATTTTCTTAAGAACACGTCGCCACTTTTCAACAACCTTATCCAACTTTTTAGGAAATGAACAATTTTGAGTGATGAAACACGTTAAATAATTGGATTTATTTTTAGTAATTCCAATGGACCTCTTTACATTACAAAAATTTGATCTCTTTTTATTAAAAAATTTTTTTTAAAATTCTAATATCTATATTCACTTTACACGAGTATGGATTACATCCTTTATAGATCATAACGTACGTCACATTGACGTCATTATTTATATAAAGCAACACCCCAAACGTTTTCTTTGGCATGAATATTTCGTAGAATTAACGACTAATACATTAAATTCATATTTTAAAAATCTTGTAATTTATTATTTTTTTTAATTAAATTAATAATAAAAATACCATTTTCATAAAGTTAAAAAAAAAGGAGGGGAAAAAATAATAATAATAAGGCTTTACCATAATGTCGAAGTAAATATCGAAAATCATTCTTTTGCGTGTAAGAATAATTCTACCAATTGTACTTTCTAAATTGGTAACAATAGAAATGAAAAAAAAAAATATAAATATTACTTTCCCTGTTTTGTTATATTAGTATCTAGAATATGAATACAATTCAAAAGTATATAAATAATTTCATCTAAAATAGAACTCTACACACACAATGAAGAGTCATTTTCCTTGTTGTTACGGGCTTATAAAAACGAAATTGTCATCAGTTTAAATTCTTTCATACACAAAAATTTAATTAGAATATTTTATTTCTATTATTATTATTATTATTATTCTCTTTATGAAAAGCTTACGCGAGTTCAGACATATTACATTTAAATATATTGACAAGAATTGTAAAAAAAAAAAAAAAGAAAGAAAGAAAGATGAAATATAAAAGACTGGCGATAACATTGTTAAAATGTTAATTTTAGTAAAATAATAATAATAATAATTGTAGAAATATTGGTAGAAGGAATTTAAAAAAAAAAAAAAAAAAAGAGATGGACGATTTTAAAGAAAGATAATCGAAAGTTTTCTAACGCTATCATATTTTTGGGTCAATGCACAGTAACCTTGAAGCGTTGTAGACATGTTTGTGAGACGAAACAAAAGTAGTAAGATAGACGATGCGTTACATTGTTACAACGTTCGCAGGTAAGATTTAGTATGCTCGAAACGTAAAGTTAAATCGACCCCCGAAAAAAAAAAAAAAAAAAAAGCAAAACATCCTTTATAATTATAGTTTTTGTAATTATGATTATAAAAATAAAGAGGAAAAAGNCGTCGACTTTATAATTAAATGAAATAATTCTTAGGAAGATTTTTACTGTTTTATTTATTTATTTAATATAAAACTTAAGTGAGAGTTAAGCATTACAAACAACAATTTTTTTTTTTCAATTCCTAGAGAATTGCAAAATATGTTAAAAATAATAATTATATAGAAATATTATAATTATAATGACTTTCCGTTAAATTGTATAACTAATTAATAGTTTGTATATATATATTTTTTAAATATTAATATTATATAAAACGAATATCAAATAATTTTCTAAATACAGTAATGCGTTATTCTTATAATGGAAATTACTTGGTGGTACCAGAAAAAAAAAGATTTTAAATAAATTCTCAAAGGTTCGTACGTTAAAAATTGAAAAATATTCGAAATTTTACTTCATAAAAGATAATTTATCTTACTTATTAGTATAAATATGTATCAAAGTTAAATAGGGCCACCGAGATGGTGAAGCTGGGGATTTTCTCTACTCCCGAAGAAAACAGTGCTTTCTACTCCTATAAATTAATATTATTTTTACTGTAATAACAAAAATAAAATATTTAAGACTGCTATTTTTTTAATAAAGAAACATTCTAAGCATTTTATTTGTTCAAAAAGAAAGGCAAAAGGTTCACTAATACCTCTGGATCCCATACCAAGCTTTCTATGGTTCTGGTTATAAAACTATTCATTTTTAATGCTATAGAATAAATAAAAAAAGGTAATAATTTTATTAATAATTGAAAGTAAACTTTTTGAATACGCCAACATATAAAATGTTATTTTCTAAACAAAAAAAAAATGAAAACAAATGATAGATTTTAAGCATAAATTAATCTTATAAAAATGATTTTAATCCATTAAGCCGTAATTCTGATGATAAAATAATCCGAAAATTTTATCCTAATCACTTGGCATTCTTCCAGAAAACTTACGAACTAAAATTTTCCTGCGGGGTATATCTAAACTGTGTTTTTTTTTTCTAACAATTTCGACTATCTAAAAGTAAAATTAATGATTTCATTCAATTAGAAAAACGATAAGAGAAAATACAATAATTTACTTTAAAAAGATTGTTTCTTATCTGGTTTAAAACATTTTTTTAAAATATTTTACACGCAAAAAAGTAATTTTTAAAGCTTAGAAAAAATTGCTTTTGGTACCCATTCTTTCTTATATTACTTCATTTTTTTAAGCTTGGTGACGATCCAAACCAAATTAATTATCAAAAAAACACAGCAGAGAAACATAACTGAGTTAATAATTATAGATCGGAAGTGAAAATGCCAACCGAATCTAACACGATAATAAGTACTATTACTGATACTGATGACACTTGTAAGTTTATGAAACTTAAAATTATTAAAATGAACTATTTCTTTCAATGTTAAAATATAGGATTAATATTAACCATGACTGCTTCAAGCATTTCTTTTTTTTCTTTTTCCACCTCCCATTTTCTTTTCTAGAAGATGAAGTAAATAGCTTATAGGATAATGAGTAAGCTTAGTATTATTCAGGCGATATTTGAAAGAATAAATAAGTAAAAACTTATAATTCTTCATCAAAAATATGTTTGTTACTCATCAATTTTTAGATTAATTACTAGTTTTAAAAATGATGTATTATTAAATTTCAAATTAATATTATTATTTTAAACTTCTTCAATATTTTTAAATGCAAATTGGTTATGTTTTCAAGTACAGAATCCCATTAAATTGACTTAAAACAAATTAAAATTAGCATCTTTCAACAATAGAATCTATTATTCATAATACAGTAAATACGAGAACTAAGAATAAATAATATTATCTTATCTTTTTAATAATTAATACAGATTTTTAAAGTAAGGTATAAAAGAAAGCTCAATTAGTATACGACGTGATTAGGCGATTGTAGTTTTGATTGTGACGAATTTCATCTTATTTATTTTACACAACTATTAAATTATTCGAATGTATATAGTTAATATGATGTTAAAATTTCCATTATTTTTCTTTCTAATGAATGTAGTCGAGATCCTTTCTACTAAATGCATCAAGAACTTGCCCCTATGGAATATGCCTTAGGGATAAGACGTTCAGATTAATGGATGCAACTACCGAGACTGATGATAATTGAGATAAAACTTAAAAATATTAAATTATTTGAACGAATAACGTTCGATATTAAAATTTAGATTACTTCTCTACTATAAACGTTCGGAAAGGAGAGCATTTCTGTTTGCAACTAATTAAATGGGTTTCATTTTCGAGTAACAACCTGCAATTTTGGTATACATAAATTCATTCGATATGATATATCTTTTTGATGATCCAATAAGGAAAAAGAATTTTATTGTTCGTCCAATACAGGAAAAAATATATATTCAAGTAGCGTATCTTTTAAACAGAAATTCCCAAAATACAGTCGACCCCATGTAACACTGTTGATTATTCCGTTTTATATGAATTCCGCGTTGTACGAGTCACTTAGATTTTACAAATACGTGTGCCGGGCTGTGAACGGCTCACGTATTTGTAAAATCTAAGTGATTCGTACAACGCGGAATTCATATAAAACGGAATAATCAACAGTGTTATAGAGGGGGATCGACTGTAATTTGTTGCGCCATCATCTAGAACTTTTTTTTTGCTCTCTATTTACTTTTCTCAACTGATTTTACATTTTTTTGTTTCTATTTATATTTAATAATCACAAATCAAATTGATAAATTTTAAATACAGTATGTATTTGCATCATTTATCACCTTGTTGGACTTTAACCATATTTTATCGTCGTCACATCTGACTGGTTTAAGTTTCAATGAGGAAAAACATCTGGAAAACATAGGGATAATTCTAGAAAGGAAAATTATCTGATAATCTCATATGTCAATTCTATAAGTAAGACCATTTGTTTTTAAGCAAATTTTTATAGAAATTTAAATATTTTACAACGAACCAGAGCAAACGCGTAACTTTATTTAGACCTATTAGATTTACTTTATTAATATAAAACAATTTTAGCGCTATTATAAAAATGATTTATGGTTTATTATCCTATAAATCATCTAAATATGTTGGTACGTAAATTTATTACTAATCGATTTAAAATAAAATAATAATAAAATCGCGCTCTTAAATTTGTCAGTCTATAATAAGAATTTTTACATCAATTTAATATCAAATATGAAAAATTATAAATTTTGCTTTATATATAATTTAAAATAAATTTAAATATTTAATATTATATGGACGAATTTTTTTTTTAATATGAAATTTATTTTTTAATGCATAATTTGGTCACTAGGTAGAAGCACTTGCAACGCCAGACGAATCAGTTGGCCAAGCAAGATGGATGCTCCACGAGCCGATTTCCTCGGTCAATACAAATTAATTTCGAGTAAATTAAAAAAGTGAGTTTGTTATTGCTATTAATGTTTTTTTTAACAACTTTGTATTCTAGAAAATTTACTAAAGTAATAAAAATGTACAGTACGGTTTTATATATATATTAAACGAATGAGACAATTTCTGTTGTTTACATCGTAACACATGATTCGAGTGCAGTTCTGAACGAGGCAATTGAGACCTTATCAGAGCTGTAGGCCATGCCTAAAGAGGGGTTTAAGGTTTAGGAGGGGGTCTAAATCCCTCATTAACAACTGCAGTTTTACCATTTTGTATAGCATTTATACGTAAGTACATACGTAACAATCTAATGGATGACCAATTTTCTAATAAACACTGGCCTTTGATTTGTTTATAAGTGAATATCAACGTACAGAGCTGTCCATAAATGACATCCACACTGGAATACTGTGTTTACACGCAAACCACGACTCAGTTTAATCTCAATTTACCCACAATCTCGATTGCAACTGTCGCCAGTCAAATGTAGAGCTGTTTGCACGGGCAGTCCGCTTGAGAAGAACCTGGCTATTGCACGCGACGATAAAACTGACATAACTAAGTGGTAAGTCACAAACGTCAACAAACAAAATGGAAGTTTTGGGTAGAAATAAATACTTTCTCTTGCCGTATATCTAACAATAGCCAGATCTCATTGTCTCTCCAAATATCTTTTTTATTTCTCTGTTGATAGCCTGACACTTGTTCCGCAGCCATCTCGTTTCTTCTCGCGTGGGATTGTGGGAACTTTCTTATGACTGGATCTAGTTTCAAAAACTCTTGTGTCGATTGCGATCGAACCTTCTTTCGGTCGAGATAGGTTGCACCACGCACAGTTGCAGATCTTGTCACTTTCTAGATTGAAATGCTCAGTGTGAATGGGGTAGAAGGGAGGAAAGCAATTATCACAAGTTTGACAAAGTTGGACAAGAGAGAGGGGATAAGTGGAACTTCAATAAATGTTCCATATTATTTCATTAAATTTTTATACAATTTGTGTGTTTTATTATTCATAAAGTGATAAAGGTTTCAAGGGGGGTTGAGTTTTGTTGAAACTTGGACAAACTAGGACGGTGGGGAGGGGGAGTAAAAGTTTCAATAAAAGTGCAGATGTAATTTATGAATGGCCCCTAACTAGTGGCGCGTTATCCTATGGGCAAAAAGGGCAATTGCTGGAGGCCCCAAATTGTCTTTTATAAGAAAACATTCTTCCAAAAAATTCCCTAAAAGAAAAATGTCTGAAGCTAACACTGTACAGTACATGGGGGGGTCCCCTAATTCAAATTTATCTCTGCCTCATGAAGCTATAATGCACCACTGACTGTAGAAATGTTTTGACACCTTGGCAATGCATTAGTTTTAAGTCCATAGTGCATAAATGTTTGCACTATGCCTTGTGTTCTTGGCAATTGCCTCATTGCATGCTATAGCTCTGTCTACATTAAATATTAATCCAATTTTCATACATTTTCTATGCCACAGAAACTATTTGTTTATATTTCTTTTGCTGAAACCACTAACATAAATAACTATACTTTCTTAATCAGATATCTAATAAGCAAGATTAAAAGTTTAAAAATATACTTTTTATGTCATGCTCTAAAGATTTTTAGTAAAGCTTATAGGATGCCATTTAAATTGGAAATTACATATTCAAAGTGATAAGGTACCAGATGCTATTAAAATAATACACATCCTGTAGATATATATTTTTAAGTTTAACAAAAATAAGAAATGAATTTTTTAAATTTGTGTGTATGTATATATATCATCATGGTTGAGAGCTAATATGTGTCCAGGATAGAGTGGGTTTCTTTTACCCCTTAGAGTGTCCCTTTTTCCATGGTTTTTTTAACAAATGAAATATGTAGAATTTTATTATTAATAAAAAGCAGTCTTAAAAGATTTTATTTTCTGTTAGTAAAAATAACATTCATTTTATAAGAGTAGAAATCACTACAGGTTCCTAAGTTTTCTCCAGAGCCCAGGAAAAACCCCCAACTCCCCATTTTAATGGCTCTGTATACTACATTATTTATTGTTATATAATCATAAAATTGAGTTATCATAGTTATCATATACTAATTTGTTTTTGATATAATTTTAGTTTTAATGTTTGAAAATATAACTAATAATTTAAATATATTTTTTAAAATTAAAGTAAAATTAATTAAGTAAAAAGGATTAGTTAATTTGTGAATACTAACATTTAATATTGAGAATTTATTCACATCAGAAATAAACTGTTCTTGATTCACAAATTAAATTTTAATTTAACATATTTTAAAAATTGAATACTTTATATAAGTGAGTAGATATAAATCATAATTAAATGTAATTTTTAATATAATGCATACATAAAAACTATATGATTGTCTAAAGATTGCATTATTCTATTTAATTAGGCTCAAAATTATTTAAGTTATAACATATAGTATATATTCCAAGCCCATAGTTAAACCACTTTTGCAGCTAACATTACCACATTACAAATATAAATGTAATTTCAATTATTTTTTGAATACATTTTGTCATGTACTACAGTGACTATTATACAGTACTTGGAGAAAATTTAATTAAATTGTCTAATCACAGTGTACAATAATGTAAAATCAACATTTTTCCTAACTCTGGAAAATACAATTCCAAATAGACATCCACAACTGCCACAAATAATTGGGTTATAATTTGGAAATAATAATTATGAACTACAAATGAATTTGACACTGGAGGGAAACGTTAGGTGCCATCTTGTATTAAAATTAATAAGTAAAACATTAAGGCTGTATTTGGGACAAGACTTTGTCTTGGAGACTCACTACTAAGCGGGATCACTTCAACTTCCACTTACTGTGTGGACGCATTGCCAGTTACGCTATCTGGACCTTTGGTCCGATATCCTGGCAATGAGTTGTGAGTTATAAGTCTATATGTTGACAGTGATAAGTCTGATAGTAATTTCATACAACTTCTGCACTAACATGCAATCGACGACAANCTGGAGGGAAACGTTAGGTGCCATCTTGTATTAAAATTAATAATTATAATATTTAAATAATTTAGATTAAACTGGAAGAAAAGAATCAACCCAAAGTGGGACTCAAACCCACAACTTCCACTTACTGTGTGGACGCATTGCCAGTTACGCTATCTGGACCTTTGGTCCGATATCCTGGCAATGAGTTGTGAGTTATAAGTCTATATGTTGACAGTGATAAGTCTGATAGTAATTTCATACAACTTCTGCACTAACATGCAATCGACGACAAAAGTACACATATCCTGTATATACAATATTTAGCAAAGACAACTGATGAATATATTAGTCTAGGATACAGGATGAATTATTGAACATTATGGCAGTAAATGCGTTGCAGAAAATTGCAGATATTTTGAAAGCGAATATTTACTATGCTATTATGGTGGATAAAGTGATTGATTCTCAAAACAAGGAACAAGTTATTGTTTGTTTTTTAGAAAGTTGAAACATTAAAAAGATTTAACATAGCTGATCCACAGTGTTCTCTTGGAAGTGCCTGCTTAGATATGAAGGTAAGATATTTGGTTACCTTATTAATTAAGTTGAAAATCAAATGTATTGCTAATATGTAATACATAGTTAACTAAAAATGAATGAATAATATATAATTAATATAAAAATTACATTTTTCTTCTAAGATGATGCATCTTGCCATTTTGATGATGATATCAAAGATGTATACAGTTGACATTATTATGTAGCATTAGATTTGACATCAAGACTTACCAAACACTAGAAAATCTATTGGTAACTTCAGCTTCTAAGAACTAAACAGACCTGGACAGGCCCAAACCATTACAAAATTTGCAAAACAAATGTATTTATTTGGTTTAGACAAAAGTCCTAAGATAGCCCGTCGATCTTAGGACCATTCTTTCTTTTGTTCCCTTAATGTTGGGAGATTGAATTTAGCTTCAATTTGACCTCTTCCATGATCTGAGTGGGACTTTTGTTACACCTAGTAATGAGGGAACAACCACTTGGAGAGTGAGGATGAGAGAAAGTAACCAATTGGAATGGGCGATCAAAGGATGAAGATTGATATAATTCCCGATTTTCAAGAGCATGTGGGGATGGCACTGCATGGAGTACAGTGAAATAGACATAGCACCACACCGCATAGCTGAGCCCAGCTTAGCTCAGCACCAGATATAGCACAACACAGGACAGTATTGCACATGGAAGGAAGTGCCGAACGCAACACACCATGCCCAACACTGCACTCAGCAACTACACTGCTCCATACAGCACAGCATCAGTACACAAGAATTCCTTTTTCCTGTGTCTTTGGACAGAACTGTGCCAATCAGGTGAAATCAACATTGCCCCTCATTGAGGACCATTGATCATCTTGTCAAGTCTTGTCTATCCAACATCACACCCAATCTATCAGATGAAGTCCTGCTACTGCCCCAGGACTATAGTTGCTACATCGGAAACTCCAATGACTCTTCATCCTGGACTGTACCCATGCGGTGAACAAACTTTCAGACACTGTCATCCACAGTTGTGAGAAAATATTTTGTTTTGAATAAACAGTTTTAAATAATGAGCTTTAAATAATGTTTTAAATAAATAAATTAATTAAGGGCATTAAACTGTAATGTAAAGGTGCTTGTATCTGTGCCTCCAGCATCACCACCACCCACATAAGAAAGGACATTTGACTATCCAGATATGGAATTAATGATTCCCCCTTTTCAACTAACTCACAATTATTACATTGAAGTTTGCACTATTGTAAAAAATTTCATAATTTTATTGAAAAGTTTTGCTGTGAAAATGTTGCTAATTCCTTCTTCATGCGGTGCTTGAAAAAATCTGGCAACATAGTACTTGAAATAACAAGAGTTTGTTGTCTTACCCAAATTACAAATAGTCAAACAGGATGATTTAAGGATGCTGCTTACTAATATTGAGCTAGATGTAGAAAAATTAGTCACATCATATATAGCCCATCATTAA